CCCCAAAACCCCAAAACCCCAAAACCCCAAAACCCCTTTGTGAAAATAATTATTGAATTACTTTTGATTTGATCTTTCTTCCTTAGCAGCCTTTTCAACAATTTTCCACATTTCTTCTTTCTCTTCTGTTGTTTTTCTATGAGAAAGGCAGTTGACATATATTGCAAGGAGATCTACAGGGACAGCCTCGGTATATTTAGAAAGTTTAGCAAACTTCTCATCTAGGTGCTCCCATAGAACTTCATTATCGATCTTATTGTCCATTACTCCCAATAAAAATCAAAACTCATTCATCTGATCTTCAACGATGAGTTTTCTCTCAATAACTACATCTACTAATTTAAGCCATATTTCTTGCTTCTTGAGTCTTGATCTTGTGAGTGAATAGATTAAGTTTTCGATAGTGTGGTTGTTCAATTCATGAATATTATCTGTCATCATTGCAAGAGATGCATCCCAAAACTCCTCATTCATTTGTTCAGCCATTGTGACCCCCATTAGACATCTCATGTAATCGTCAAGGAAGAGTTCGATGTTGATATCTTGTTTGTGAGTTTCAAAGTCTTCAATTGCTTGCATTAGTTGGGGCTCAATTACTTTCTCCCAGAATTCTTCAGGAATATGCTCCTCTATTGATTAAATCATAGACTTACCAGCACCTGGAGTGCAAAACAGCATCAAGAAATAAGACAGATCGGATAAATTGTATTGGTCAATGTACTGGACAGTAGCCAGGTACATACTTGACAATAAATCTTTTGGGAACACGCTTGGATCGATGATATTCTTAGACAAAGCGACTGCTAAAAAGAATAAATCTTGACTCTTTGCATTATCCATGTTTGCTACAATTTTTCCCAGAAGAATTTTGTATAAACTTTGGTTGTTTCTATCATCCATTACCAAGGCAAGTAAGAGTTTGGACAGAGCCTCTCTACAGGGTTAATTAATTTTCTTACGTGTTATCTATTGTCTGAAGCTCCTGAGTGAGCTTTGAGTCATATCTTCCCCAAAAAGCAGTAGATGTTTTTCTGAATTTACAGAAATAATACACAATGTCTATAATGCTTTCTCCTGAGATGAAAGCCATTGCATTGAAGCTCAGGGTTTCAAATGATTTCCAGATTTCATCGAATGGTTCAATAGTTCCTGCTCTTTCAATGCAATAGTTTAGAGTAAGTGCAAATTCACTGAGAGGAGGACTCCTCATCGATCTCATTTTCGAAAGTAGTTCGGTAAGGTATTTCTTAGGGATTTCAGTATCTGTAATTCTTCCTTCAAAATGCTTTAACTGAGAATTGACTTCATCGAGTTCTTCCTGAATATCCTCGAGATTGTTGAAGATTCTCAGCTCGAAATCTTTCATATATTCCACAGGATTCTTTTGCTCAGAACTAAAACTTCTTGTTGAGATAGTTTTCAAGAGAGGAGATGTAAACTGAGATTTTTGGCTAAATCAAGCACCTAGTGTGAAATATTTCTTTGAACTGAAAGTCATGTAGGTTCTTCCCATGCCAATTCTATTGAGTTTTGCCAAATTTTTTAGAGAGGAAATACCTGTTTTAGATATCCTAGTCTTGTTGAGAAAAGCTCTAGCTCCAAGTCTGATCATTTATGATAGAATTTAATATTATAATCAAGCTTTGGATACATTTCAGGGGTTTTGGGGTTTTGGGGTTTTGGGG